TGATCACAATATGACAAAGTGCTAACTTACAATATTGTTATCATAACCTCATATTATTGCTTTCAGTTGCTGATGCTGTAGAGCAAAGTCACTTTGCATTGTTCTTCAACCAAGGACAGTGTTGTTGTGCAGGATCCAGAACTTTTGTCCATGAAAGTATATACGATGAATTTGTCAAAAAAAGCGTAGAGAGAGCTCGTAATCGTACTATTGGTAATCCATTTGACAAATCTAATGAACAGGGTCCTCAGGTAAAATATTTAAATATGCTATTCTGGATTTTATTACTTTACATCTGTCATATATGTAGGAATTTACTCCACAAAATATGCAATCATTTTGCATGAAAAATTTCACATTTTCCCATGTTGACAATTAACTTTTAAGTTTTTCAAAACCAGCATTTTCAGCTAATGGAAAAGTTATTATAAAATATTTAGATGTTGATTTAAATACTTACTGCAAGCTCATAAGAATAACAAAATCAATGTTTCCGAATTTATCCTCATAGATGTTGTTCATTTTAAAGCCATAAACGTAAAGCTGATTATTCTTGGCAAAGAAACATAATTTTTAGTCCCCGTTCAGACGCAGTCCGAAACGGGGACTTGTGTTTTGACCTCTGTGCGTCCTTGGATGAATTTCGTTCAAACTTAGTACATACATTAGACATTACGAGTTCCTGATGCATGTCATTTTATTTTTCAGATCGGATTCAAAATGGCTTACTGGCGGCCATTTTGTTTTAATGAATGGGCTTCTAGAGGCATATCTCTGACATGCTGTATTACTATTACCAAAACAATACATCTTAAATTCAATAACTAACAGGGACTGTGCCATGCATGGCTTGTTTATTTTGTTTTGTTTTGTTTTAGGTTGATGAAGAACAAATGAATAAGATTCTTGAGTTGATTGAGAGTGGCAAGGCAGAAGGTGCTAAGTTGATGTGTGGTGGTGCTCGTCATGGTGATAAAGGATTCTTCATTCAACCTACTGTTTTTGCGGATGTTAAAGATAATATGAGAATAGCCAAAGAAGAGGTGAGTCAATCTGTCACGAAGACCCGGGTGATAGGACATTAGTTAGCATCATTAAATATTTATGCTCCTCCTCCTCTCCTAATAGGCTGAATCACAAACAAAAATATCCTCGGGGGCGGACATCCGAGCATTTTCTACCGCCTGGCAACCCTCGCGGTGAAAACAAAGACCAAAAACTCGCAGAAAACGGTACTTTGGGATGGTTGTTGAGAGTCCCCTGAACAGTGTAACAAGATTAGCCCTATGTGTGTAACATATATGAATTTGGTTGTTCAGGATTACTTCAAAGTTGAGTTTGTGTTGTTTTCTCGAGTTTTCACCGGCTCCACGGGCGTTCCACAGCAGAGCGCACAAAGCCCATAGAAATGCATGGTACAGTGGTGCACGTCGTAGCAACGTGGAACGTCTTGTGACGTAGCTCCGCCCCCGAGGATAGAGAAATGCCAAAGAAATTTGCCTTATTGATTGAAATTAATCTTTTCACCACCAGACATTCTCACCCAAATTGTGTGGACCTCTCTCAGATTTGTTGATTTCATGATATCATTTTCAATTCTCTAATTTTGATGAATATTTTTGTAATTTTGGGTAAAAAATTGTTTTTTTGACTTCTTGTTAAAAACCACATGTCTAATTGCTTTGATATTACATATATATATATATATATACTACATGTAGACCTCTCTCAGATTTGTTTATTTCGTGAGGATATCTTTAATTCTCTAATTTTGGTGAATATTTTTGTAATTTTTGGTGAAAAGTGAAATATGCATTGCAACAGCGGAGCTATCTCAGCCAACAGCTGCTTGTTTTCTTGTATTCTTCAAAATTTTGCAGCCAACATACAAAATTTTAATTAAATTGTCTCAACCTTCTGAAGGAAAGTGCAGACTATAAGCGTGACTATTTTGTGAATTTGTGATGAAAAGAAAGAACTGGTGGGGAAAAGGTCAAGTTACACAAAAACATGCCATTTTAATTTTGGTTTTCAGATTTTTGGCCCTGTCATGCAAATTCTGAAGTTCAGCACAATTGATGAGGTAATTGAACGTGCTAATAACAGTTGTTATGGTTTAGCTGCAGCTGTGAACACAACTGATCTCAATAAAGCTATCGCCATTGCTAATGGCGTTAGAGCTGGTACTGTCTGGTAAGTTTCATTTAGTCTGCTATATCTGGATCAGTCAGTATATTGAATATTATATATGAACATCAGATGTTTCTGATGAAGGTTCTCCACACCCTGCTATGAACTTATTAGTACAGTCCAGCTATTACTGATTCTGATACTAATTTGTTGGTGGATTTATGGTTGTACCAATAAATTCACTTCTATGCTCGGGCAGATTTCAACCAAAATTGTTACTATTCTTGCACATGGCCTGTTTGTTTCAAGGATTGGTCCTATTATCTGTATTCCTATGTTTTCTTAATTTTGTGGTTAACGGAGACATATTTTGTTCTTTGTTATACAGTATTTTTTAACTTTGTCTTTGACCAGTTTAATTAAAAAACTAAATTGTTGGCAATTCAGTCATGGTTGTCATGTTGGCTTAAAATGTTTCATATTACATGGGTTTGTATGGTTAATGTATAGCTTGAGGGCTGCAGTGAACTAGCAAATAGCTAGTCAAGATTCATGAATATTTAGGTATGCATGGATTTCTTTTGATAATCACGTTATACTTAGTTGCACACTTAGTATCACAAAAAAACACACAATGTTTTTCTTCAAAAATGTTGGTCAAGTCCTATTGATTAGGTTACATATTCATTTAGTCCAAAATGATTGGCGAAATTATGGAAAAATACATAAAAAATATCCTAAATGTTAACGGGAAAGAAGTGTAGTGTTGTCGAAAGGTTAAATGAAAAAGGTTCCTACATGCAATATGGTAGTTGTCAAAGTTTACTTAACTACTTGATTTTGTATTTAAGTTAGTTGAAAGAATTATGATCATGATATTTTATTTTTTAGGGTAAACTGTTTTGATGTATTTGGAGCTCAAGCACCATTTGGTGGATACAAAATGTCTGGAAGTGGACGTGAATTAGGAGAATATGGACTGGAGGCTTATACTGAAGTTAAAACAGTAAGTGTATCCCATGATGGTTGCATAAATAGAGAACATTTCCTGATCACAGAAATTTAATTGTCTATTGAAAGCACTCTCTGGTTATTTCTGGTGTTAGATTTCATCATTTTTAGCTCCGCTGTCGACTTTGTCGAGCGGAGCTTATTATATGAGTGATTGTCCGTCGTCGTCGTCCGTCGCCGTCGTCGTCGTCGTCGTCCGTGTCAATGTTTTACTTTTTCGACTTCTTCTTGAAAACTACAAGCCTGAATGCTTTGATACTTGGTGTATATGTACCTTGGGTAGACCTCTCTCAGATTTGTTCATTTTGTAATGATATCTTCAATTCTATAATTTTGGTGAATATTTTTGTCATTTTTGGTAAAAAGTGATATTTTCGACTTCTTGTTGAAAACCGCAAGTCCAATTGCTTTGATATTACATATATAGGTACTACATGTGGACCTCTCTCAGATTTGTTCATTTTGTAATGATCTCTTTAATTCTCTAATTTTGGTGAATATTTTTGTAATTGTTGGTAAAAAGTGATATTTTCGACTTCTTGTTGAAAACCGCAAGTCCAATTGCTTTGATATTACATATATAGGTACTACATGTGGACCTCTCTCAGATTTGTTCATTTCATAATGATATCTTTAATTCTCTAATTTTGATGAATATTTTTGTAATTTTTGGTAAAAAGTGATATTTTCGACTTGTTGAAAACCGCAA